ATTATATTTGTTAACCCATAAAATAACATTCCTGCTAATATACCTGTTAATTGACTTACTATATTTTATGGTATTTACGATGTTATTCATAATTAACTGCCAATCCTGTTTTGAAGCTTGACTACGCTGCATCTTTGAAAACAACCACTATGATTTTGCATTTATCTGAAAACCCTTTTCTCTGTTTTTGTTGTTTTCTTGATGCTATATAGATGAGGATGGCCTTGAAGTTTTGGTCATTTTGGCTCTATCTTGCAAGTACTAAGATTACAGGGATGCACCGCCACACTCAGTAGCATCTGAAGTTCTATGTATGTATGCATTGTCCACGAGGAAAAAATGATTGGGACTGCACTCAAATTTTCACTCCCAGTGTGTCTTGCCATCATTGGTGGCAGACCATTATGGGAATATTCTAGTATACAATGAAGTATTGGTTAGAGTCTTACAGTAACTGGTTTTGTGTCAACTTAACACAACCTGAAGTCATCAGAGAGGAAGAAGCCTCAGTTGAGGCAATGCCTCCATGAGATCCAGCTGTAGGGCATTGTCTTAATTAGTAATTGATGTGGGAGGGCCCAGCCCACTGTAGGTGGTGCCATCCCTGGGCTGGTGGTCCTGCGTTCTATAAGAAAGCAGGCTGAACAAACCACGGGGAGCAAGCTAGTAAGCGGTGCCCCTGCACGGTCTCTGCATCAGCTCCTGTCTCCAGGTTTCCGCTCTGTTTGAGTTCCTGTCCTCACTTCCTTCAGTGATGAACAAGAAATAGAAGTGTACGCCAAATCAACCCTTTCCTCCCCAGCTTACTTTAGTCATGGTGTTTTATTGAAGCAATAGAAACCCTGACTAAGACAAGTCTCCTTGAGGAAGACATTATTTTAGCTCCTAGAAAGAGAAAGTAATGTAAATGTGTTAGAAAATAGAAAATAGTTTAGAGGGCTGGAGAGATGGCTCAGAGGTTAAGAGCATTGCCTGCTCTTCCAAAGGTCCTGAGTTCAATTCCCAGCAACCACATGGGGTGGCTCACAACCATCTGTAATGAGGTCTGGTGCCCTCTTCTGGCCTTCAGGCATACACACAGACAGAATATTGTATACATAATAAATAAATAAATATTAAAAAAAGAAAATTAAAAAAAAAGAAAATAGTTTAGAAAGTAAAGCTGAAGACTTATGGAGAAGACTGAAATCTCACTCCTTCACATCCAGGCATCACTGAACTCCTGAAACCTTTTCTGGTGAATAGTCCTACTCCTAGGTCTCCAGGTTCAGGTCTTAGGTAGGTCCATTACAGATAGGTGGCTAAACTCACCAAATTCTACATAAGCTACACTCGAATCATAAGAGGTGAGAAAGTGAAAGAGATTCTTTTTTCTTTCTTTCTTTCTTTTTTTTTTTTTTTGAAACAGGGTTTCTTTATGTAACCCTGGCTATCCTGGAACTCACTCTGTAGACCATGCTGGCTTTGAACTCACAGAGCTCCGCCTTGAGTGCTGTAAAGGCACGTATTGCCACCACCACCTGTGAGAGAAATTCCTAAAGCCTCTGCATGTGTGTGTTGCTGGAGACTGACTCCAGAACTCTGTACACATTAGGCAAGTGTTTTATCACTACACTTCATCCTTAGCCCTAAATCTAGGATTTTTAATAATGAGGAAAACCTTAGGACATGGCCATACTTTCCATGCTTTCTTCCTGCTTCTTACAAGCTCTTGAGAAAAAAAATTAAGTGGTGTATCTTATAGTTTTGTGTGTACGGCTGCTTTGCCTGCACATATGTGTGTGTGCCACGTGGGTGCTCGGAACCCAAGGAGATAAAAAGAGGGGGCTGCCAACTCTCCAGCCCCTCCTCTGAAGCTTTAAAAAGTATCTTTCCAGCTGTAACTCAGTGGTAGCACATGCACAAGACCCAAGAGTCCATCCTCAGCACTGCAAAAAGCTGTCTTTTCTGGAAAGAATACAAAGATTTTTATGAGGAAAATAACTTCTGAAGAGAAAATCTTTTCCTAAGAGTTGAAACGTTTGGTTACCATTTGAATATGATAGAGAGGTTGGAGAGTGGCAATCTTCTATGATTACACCTTAAAAAAAAGAGATAAGTGAAGCTAAAGGAGGGGTAATACTGTGGTCCTGAAGAGAAGATGGACTGTTTTACACACATCACTGTAGGTTTGCACGGTACTGTCATTCCAGTCCTAAACACTAGGCAATTTGAAGCTTACCAGGGAGGCAAATAAGATCAAGGAATCAAGGAGATGTTGCGAAGAAGGGCAGTGAAGGTAGAGGGTGTTAGAACGCTGTGAGGACTGAAACAGGATGGTGCTGATGCAAGAATGCTCAGCCCTGACATCGGTTGCCACAAGCTTTTTGCCAGCCTGGCTACACAGTGAGTTCCAGACCAGCCTGGGTTATACTGTGAGATTGTATCTCAAAAAAAAAAAAAAAAAAAAGAAAGAAAGAAAAGAAAAAGAAAAAACAAAACAAAACAAAATGCCCCGCATAAGCAGCATTAATCTAAATGTTAGAAGATATGATATGGAAGAGAATGTGCCATGTATGACAAAGGTTAATACCTTTAATATGTAAAGACCTGTTCCCAATCAATAGCAAAATCTAGACATCCCCCCAAAACTGGCAAGGGGCAAATAAAAATTATAAAGAAATGCAAGGGGCAGCACTGAAAACTGTGGAGCCCCACTTATAAACAATGAATTAGAATTAAAGCAATGTAGGCATATTTTCAACTATTGGATTCACAATGGCCTGAGAAATGACAGTTGATGGCAGTGATAGGAGCTGGACCACACTCTCTGGCTGCTGCTGCGGATCAAAGACTCTATTTGGAGTGTAAATTTCATTAAGAGCCTGGGCTTAGTGGCATACGCCTTTAATCCCAGCACTCAGGAGGCAGAGGCAGGCGGATCTCTGTGAGTTCAAGGCCAGCCAGGACTACGCTGTCTTAAAATAAAAACAAACAAAAAACCGAGAGCCTCCCCCCCCCCCCCCCCATCTCTCTCTGTGTGTGTATAGAGCTCATGTTTAAAATCCCAGTAGCCTGCACCCTGGAGGCTGGGACAGGAAGCTCTCAAGTAGTTTGAAGCCTTTCCTTGGTTACATGAGAAGATCAAGGCCAGCCCTGGTAACTTAGGGAGATCTTGGCACACACAAAACATTTAAGGGCAGATGATGTAGCTCAGTAGTAAGAGAATGCCTGCCTAACTCACACATGTCCTTGGGTTCACTCCTCAATACCTAAAAATAGGATGCTTTAGACTTACTCAGGGTTTGTGACCTATAAGTCAATCTCTAGGAATATAACGTGAAAAACACAAAGATTCATTACAGTGTTGTTATACTTAAGAATTAGTAATAGCCTCATTATTTAAAAACTGAGAAATTCGCCGGGCATGGTGGTACACACCTTTAATCCCAGTACCTGGGAAGCAGAGGCAGATGAATCTCTGAATTTGAGGCCAGCCTGGTCTACAAAGTGAGTTCCAGTACAGCCAAAGATACACAGAGAAACCTTGTCTCGGAAAAACAAAAGAATAAATAAATAAATAAACCTGAGAAATTTGAACTATTTCTAACACATTTCTATGGTGAACTAACACTTGATAATTAAACAGTTAATGACTGTAGCTGTATCTGCTATATGATAAGTGAAAACTAACTTTTATTTATGGCCTAAAAACAATTTCCTAAAAAATTGTATATACCAATCTATGAACATATATAAAAGAAGAACTAGTAACTTATAATCTATGGGTGTTGGCCTAAAACTAATTTATTATTTTCCTACTTTATTTCCTAAAATTTCTGCAACATGTACATTACTTTTTATTATGGCCAAACATACATAATGTGAGATCACCGCATTTTAACCATGTTTTAGTATGTGCATTATTATTGAAAACAGAAGTTCTGTTCATTTTAAGTAGCACTAAGGAGACTTCATTGCGTACTTGCACTATAGTCGCACCAATGTGGCAGTGGTTCATCTGGACAAGGACAGGAGAAAGGCAACCCAGGCAGATGAGATGGTTTGTGGATCCGAGGGGCAGAGTGGAGTGTCAGCATGTCTGAAGACAGAGTTAGCAAGTGAAGTACCTTCAGGGTTTTTGGCACTGACCAGACTGGTCAAAGGATACTGTAGCAGGGAAACAGGAAGTGGGGAGGAGCGTTGAAAAACCCGAGGGCCAAGTCAGAGTCACGTGGAGAAACCAACAGGAACCAACTACTGGAACTACTCATTTCAAGTTGCAAATGCAAATGACCCCAAATTCTTTTTCACCCAGAGCTTCAGGGACACACAGATTATCAAAAAGAGGCTAAGGAAGCAGACAAGCTGATGGAGTGAGCAGAGTTAGGGGAAGGGACAAACCCGCCAGTCTTGCTTAGTGTTACATCACTGATCAGGTTTGGTTTGCTGATAACAATTTAGGCTAAGCTGGTTCTTCAGTTTGTATTCTTTACTGTTTTCTTTTGCCTGTGTGCCCTATCGTGACCACGTTCCTTGGGGAATTGTTAGGACAGCGCCCAAGATAGCACCCGTTTGAAATGCAGTTTCTTTCTGCTGTCCCTTGCTGTTTTATGGTTCTTGGTTTATTTTAGTCCTAGCCAGTAGGTTTTACTGAGAGAAGGCACGATGAGAAGAAAGAATGCTACATTCTCCTTATGGTAACATCAGGAGGGCAAGTTAGCAGGTTGCATTCTGCAGTGTCCTCCTTTGCTGGGGTTGCAGGCAAGTAAGTAATGTATTTGGGGGCCAGGAAAGAAAAGGGAGACTCATGGGGAAGCTTTCTAGAAGACACCTAGTCGCCCCGAGGTTAGCAAAAGTGTTAGAGACCACATAGATTTGCATGAGCAGCCCTGAGCTCTTTAGAAACATGGCATCCGTGGTGGGGCTGTTGGGCAGGAGGGGGTGGGTGGAATTGAGCATTTTTTTGTGGCTACGTAAGTGCAAATGCTTCAAGCCCCCTCCCTCCCAGTGCTCCGCACCTGCATCTTTCTCTTCACGGTGTCAAAGGGGAAGGAAAGCGTCTGGCTCACAGCAGCAGCCACGCAGACATTGGCAAAGTTCTGCAGGTGAGAGAAGCGGTCCCGGGGTCCATTCCAGATTTTCTCCAGGTTCATGTAGACTAGAAGGGAACCAGCAGAGAAGGGAACAGCGCCTGGAATCAAGCACAAGGAGAGGTTGCTGTCTGGGGAACCACTGTCTGGAGCAAAGGAATGCCCGAGGGCTGTATGATGGGAATAGCAGGGGTCTGGGGCTGTTTAAAGTCCTGCCAGTTAAGGAGCAACAGGGCATGTTCTGTGGGTGTGGTGACAACACCATATGGTCACCAAAAGCCTGAACTGGTCCACTCAAGGTTGGTGCAGTTTACCATCAATACACTGTACATAAAAGAACTATAAGCCAATCTTGAGAGTTCAGTGTGGTGACACATACCTATAATCCCAGCACCTAGGAGGTGGAGGCAGGAGGATCAGTAGTTCAAGTTCATTCTTACCTACATAGCAATGTTTATTGCCAGCTTGGGCTACTTGACTGCATGAGATACTGCTTCAGGCAGAAGAGAAAAAATACCCAACTAGATGCTGAACTTGGGTTTGTGATACAGATGCTGTAACTTACATTAAAATCGCCAAAGAAGTCAGGTGGTGGCGGTGCACACTTTTAATCCTAGTATTCGGGAGGCAGAGGTAGGTAGAACTCTGTGAGTTCAAGGCCAGCCTGCTGTACAGAGTGAGTTCCAGGACTGCCAAGGCCACACACAGTGAAACAGTCTCAAAAATCAGACAAAAAAAGTCACCAAAAGAAAATATGGACTGGTGAATGGCTCTGAGGGATGCATAGACATGTGACAAAGTTAAAAAAATAATCAACTGGGGTCTTCAGTGAGTATATAGTTATTTACAATTTTTAGGGCTTTACTGTGTTTTTGAAATACAAAAAGGAGAAAAGAATGAAAAGAAACATTGCAAGGAGTCATTTCCATAGCACTGAAGAGATGGCTCATAAGATAAGAACACCTACTGTTCTTGCAGAGGGGCACCTACACCAGGTGGCTCCCGACCACCTGTAACTCCAGCTCCAGGGAATCCTCCATCCTCTAGCCTCCACAGGCACCTGCACTCATGTGCACACACCTACACACACACACACACACACACACACACACACACACACACACACACACACACTTTCAAAGAAAATAAAATCTTTAAAAAAAAATCACTTCCATTAAAGAAGATACTAGGCTGGGCAGTGGTGGTGCACACCTTTAATCCTAGCACTCGGGAGGCAGAAGCAGGCAGATCTCTGTGAGTTCGAGGCCAGCCTGGTCTACAAGAGCTACAACTAGGGATGTTACACAGAGAAACCCTGTCTCGAAAAATAAAAAAGTTAGTAGGCAATACTTAATCCAGTTTGGGAGCCTAGAAAGGGACTGTTCCCTAGTGCAGAAGGAAGCATTCTGTGATAACGGTGGCCATGGAGGTTACCTGACCTTGCTGAGATGTCTTAGGGCCCAGTGAGCATCATACGTAGTGGTACCCTCACCTTCCTAGTAACTAAGATGGCGAATCAGAGGACATACTATTTGGTATTCTCACAAATTTCCAGGAACTTTCCGAACAATCTTTAGTTAACAGATGAACTAATTTGTCCCTCAAAGTGAGATAGAGAGATGGCTCAGTGGTTCAGAGCACTGGCCATTCTTCCAGAGGACCCAGGTTCAATTCCCAGCACCCACACTGTGGCTTGGGACTATTTGTAACTCCAGTTTCCGTGGATCTGACACCTTTTTCTGACCTCCATGGGTACTGCTCACACGTGATACACAGACATGCATGCAGGCAAAACACCCCTACACATAAAGTAAAAAGTGGAAGTACAAAAAGAGATCTACTAGATGGGGTACTGCTGGGGTGTGACTCCGCGGCAGGGTGCTCACAAAGCTCTAGCTTCTGTCCCTAGCACTGCGAAAACGGGAGGCAGAATATAGGTGGGACATCGCTTATCTTTAGGCAAAGGTACTATTTAATAAACAAAATATATTTGAAAAGACTCACCAACTTTCTATTTTCAAAAACGTTTGGGGAAGCTGGAAGTGGTAGCACATGTCTGTAACCCCAACACTAGAGCGGCTGAGGCAAGACGATCTGGAGTTAAAGGCCAGCCTTGCCTACGTAGTGAGCTCAAGCCCAGCCGACATGACATTAGACCTCGTCTCAAAAATAGGAATCGAGAGATCTTTTGCTGTGTGTTGGGCCCTATGTCAAGCGCTGGGACCACAGCTCAGAGCAAGCTAATTTCTATAGATATTTACCATTAAGTGCAGGACATAGCTAGGAACACTTCATATGCCATCCCCGATATGTACATGTAGTGAGCTGTACAAGATGCTTTATGCACACAAGTATCAGAGTGATTGATTTTGCCCAGAAGAACCAGGAAAGAATGAGAGAAAAGAGAATTCTCTCTATCTCTCTGTGTTATGTTAGGGATTGAACATAGAGACCCCGCTCTAGCCACCACCACCTTTTTAACTCTTTGACACAGGTCTCAGTAAATTGCCTGGGCTTTATTTGAATGGTGTAGCCCAAGTGGGCCTTGAACTTTCACTTCCGCCTCCACATCCTGAAGCTAAGGGGGGATTGCAGACCTGGCATGTCTATAGTTGTTTGAGATAGGAACACTGTGTAGCCAAGATTAGCCCAGAACTCCTGATTCTCCGGCTGTAACCTCTAGAGTCCTGGGATTGCATTATAGGCATGTATCACCACACTTGGTTTAGGTTTAGAAGAGAGAACTTTTGAAGTGGGTTGTGAGCAAAGAGTAGGTCCACTAGGCACTGAGAGAGTGGAAAGGCAGTCTGGGCACAGGCTGTGTATACGGTCATGAACAAAGGACAAAGAGCAGCTTCATCAGACACTGAGAGTAGAAAGAAAGGCACTTGGTATCAAGTACGATGAGTGTGTAGCTCTAGGAAGCACATTCTTTCTGCATGACCTGAACATGAGAGCAGGTGGAGGCACGCTACAGGACAGGACTGTAGGGCCGACTAGCAGAGGCCAGCTCTGGAGGATCTGGAGTGCCCCAGAAATGCTGGCTCTCCCTCTTAGCTTTTCAGGATTGCAGTGGAATGAGGACAGAGCATTAGGAAAGATCATCCCAGGCTGGCAGCAGTACACAGGGCGCACTGGGCAGAGGGCCAGAGATAGCAACACGAGTCTTCAGGAGAGTCCGGCTCTCTAGAGTCAGCAGGAAAGATGACGGAGGCATGAGCTAAGGCGGAAGAGGGCGCAGACTTGTGCATTAAAAGAAGTCAAAGTGACAAGGCTTGATGACTAAAGGGGAAACAGGGAGAGGAGGAACCAAGGTGATTCCCAAGTTTCTTTGAGCTTGGGCCACTGGGAGGAAGGAAGGCAGTCTTATTAACTAGGGGATGCATAAAGAAGAGTAAGTTTGAGACTAATGAGGATATCAGATTTTGCACCTCTGGAATATGGAGGTCATCATGCTCAACAGAGGTATGTTCCATTAGGAACTGATCTAAGTCAGTAAGTAGCTAAGGGAGAGGGCCCCAGAATCACATAATCACAGGGCATCCCACTGCCTGTGCTACCTTGAGCCAGTTATGTAGCTAAGCACCTACTTCCTCATATTTAAAATGGTCTAAGAGGTTGTTCAACAGGCAGAAAGTTAGACAGCCCTGGGAAGGTGGTGCACATCTGTAATTCCAGCACTCGGAAGCTAAGGCAGGAGGATCAAGAGTTAAAAGGTAGCCTGGACTACACAGCAAGTTCCAGGCCAGTCTGGGTTACTTAATGTGACCTTGTCTCAAAAAGAAAAATGAAACAAACAATGATATGTCAGAGCTGAAGAATAAATTGTGGTGATCTATTGCTCAGCATGCTGACTATAGTTAGTGACAATGTATTGTACATTTCAGAGTGGCTAGAAAAGAGAGTCTTGATAGGAGAATGGGAGATCTCACAGCAAAGAAGCGATAAAGGTTTGAGGTGATGGATATGCTAACTGCTCTGATTTGATCACTATCGAATATATGCACGTATCAAAATATCAAACGACAGCCTATAAGCGTGTACAAGTATATATCATTAGACGTAAGAGGGCTGGAGAGACATCTCAGCAGTTAGTGTGCTATGTTCTTGCAGAGGACATGAGTTTGTTTCTCAGCACCCATGTGAGAACACGCATCTAATGTCCTCTTCTGGATTTGGTGGGGAACCACATTTCTGACCACACACCTCTGCATTAGATCTGGATATATACATGTGATTAATAAACAATAAGAATGAACTTTTGTGGGGGTGGGAGAGTCTTCAAGAGCGTGGTCCTGCTAGGTTGGCCATGATCCTGTGGATAACCCTATATCCATAAGTATAAATATGGGCAGCACGGATTGGACTGGGCAGGTTATTAGCAAAGAAGACATGAAATTGAGAATGGGGTAGGGAAATGAGGGAACGGATCTTGAAGGAGTTAGGGGAGGAGTGGGGATATGAAATTCTCAGACTTAATAAAATATTATATTAAAAGCTAAGAATAAAGATAAAAAATTTGAATAAGAAATTGTAATAAAAAACTTCTAGAAATGTACTTAGTGCCCAGTGAGCACTCCTAAAAATGTTAGCATTGTTATTAAAGATATTAGGAGTCAAAATATATTCGTGCTTATTGAAGCTACTGGCTTAGGACAGAGTGAGTCATCTAGAGAGGGGATTCAGGGTAAGAAGGCCAATGTAGAAGGCTGGGCATGGTGGTATGTGGTTGTAATCTTAGTATTCAGGAGACAGAGGTACGAGGATCACTGCAGGTTTTAGTCTAGCCTGGTCTACATAGCAAGTTTCAGGTCAGCCAGGGCTACAGAGTGTGACCTTTTCTCTAACAAACAAATAAACATAAACATCAACAAAAAGAAAGCCCATATAGAGGGTAAAAATAAATTTGAGGGGAGTGACCCAAATGAGCCATGTATATTGTATAAGAGAGAGCTGCCAGAGAGGTGTGACGATACCCAGGAGACAGTGGCACCCTAGAAGCCCAGTCTCCAGAAGACAGGGTGACTAACCTCATCTAGTACTACATGATGGACTAAAAATCCTTTTGGATTTGACAACAGAGGCCTCTGTATGTGTAGCGCTGTCAGGCTGTAGATAGCACCAAGATCCTGTTGTGCCTGCTCGTAGATTTCCACACCAAAGACTCATGTCAGCTGGGCATTTTTGAGGGGGGCTTTGAAGCCAGGCTTTTCTGGGTCACTGGAGGCCTCTAAAATCGATTTAAGCATTCACGAAGGTATATAATACCTTCACCTGTGTCAAGAAGGGGTGTCAAGTTCCACCTTACCTAAAACTGTGAGGGATACCCCTCGATAAAGGGCCAGAAACCCTTCTTGGTGATAAATAGTAGAAAAAGCATGGCTGAGCCCCCTGTAAGATGGTTCCAGCATGTTCTGCACAATCAACCGGGTTTTGATGAGGTCCGTAGGGTAGGTGACAATCATGGAGACCATGCCCGCGAGACTTCCGGCCACAATGGAGCTCCACTGGGAAATACGGCCCAGGTCATCCATGAACAGCACAACAAACCTGGGGGAAAACAGAAAAAGCTCAAGATATGAGTGTTGGACTATGCTGGCATGCTTTCCACCACTTCAAATATTTCCTAGCATTTGGAAGTGCTTTACAGTGTGAATTATACTGGGATTACTGGGTAGTAAGTTTAAGTTTCACTATCCTCATATAACGCTAACTAGCTATAAACAAGAGCTGTCCAACCTCTGCTCTATAGCTTCCCCAAACTCTTCCCACTTCATTTCCAGCATTTTCCCCTGTTATCTACGCAACCATCTAACTTGCTGGTGGGCTGTAAAGGCACAGAAAGATTACCTCTCTGGAATGCAATCTTTCCATGCTCTTGAAACTGAAAGGGAATAGAATTTTCTGAAATAACTGCAAAATCCAGAAATTTCACTCTCTTCCAGCACTGGGAATGGAACCCAAAGTCTTCTATGCATTAGGTACACACTTCTGTTTCTGAGCTACATGCCAAGTCCAGCATCCCAGAAACTGAGTTCTGAGCTCAACAGTCCAAGTCAGTATCAACTTTAATCATAGCCACAGGGCTTTGGCTTTCTGCAGAAGGCCCTACATCCAGCTAGCTGATTAAGCTGTAATGATTAACTAGCTAACCTACGACACTGGCTGATTGGATGGCGAGGTTGCCACCAATTAAGTTGTTCTCAAAACCTTGCTCCCCCCACCCAAATCTGTCTTACGGTCATGTGGTGGGTTGGACTTCTTGGAAACTCCTCGGTTCTGGGAGGTATCTGATTGGAGACTTGTGTTTGGTTTGGTTTGCTTTGGTATGGCTCAAATAAGCTTGCTAAACTTAGTATAAAGAATGAGTTTTCCTTTATAATGGAGATTAAAAGTGGAGCTGCTGTTTTACTAGTTATCAGAAAAGTAACAAATACAAACAGTGACGGGATATCCACATCTCATCCAGCAGGCTGGCATCATATCGAATGATGGAGAGAGAATGGATGGTAACTGACTCCCTCGCCCTTTGCTGGAAGGAAGGACCATAAAACCAGTAGGGTCACTTTGCAGTGTCTAGTAAATTTGGAGAAACAAGTTTTTAACCCTGTAACTCCATTTCGCAGTTCATAGTCTAGAGGAACACTCTTAGAGATCTACACATGAAGACACACTACAAACATTTCTTATAAAAATGAAAAGCTCTGCCGGGCGGTGGTGGCGCACGCTTTTAATCCCAGCACTCGGGAGGCAGAAGCAGGTGGATCTCTGTGAGTTCGAGGCTAACCTGGTCTACAAGAGCTAGTTCCAGGACAGGAACCAAAAAGCTACGGAGAAACCCTGTCTCGAAAATTAAAAAAAAAAAAAATGAAAAGCTCCAACAATTTAATGTCAAAATGTAGGGGAATGGAAAAAGTGAAGGCATTGTCATTCAATGGATCCCATCTGGTTAAAATGAATGAGCTTAGACAAATCACAGAAGCACAAGAAATAAGCCGTAAAAGCATGATGATGAATGGGCAAAACAAACTATAGATATGACAACCACAAACAATAAACCCATAAGGATTCTTTAAGGTAAACAGGTACTTAGGAGGAAGTATAAAAGCTTCCCCTGGGAAAGGGAAAATGGACTAGGACCAAGAACGAAAAAGAAGAGGATGCTACCTTCATCCAGGCTTTATTATATTTAAGAGAGATACATGGGTGGCAGGGCTTGGCATACATGCCTGTAGTCATGGTTTCGTGGGAGGCTGTGGCAGAAGAAGCACTTGAGCCCAGTATTTTGAGGCTGCTTGGCCAAGACTTGAACTCAGAAATGAAACAAGGGGGCTGAGGATGGGGTTCAGTGGTAGTATGATTATTTAGCACACTCAAAGTCCTGGGTTTGATGCCCGGCGTTGCAAAAAAAAAAAAAAAAAAAAAAAAAACAGAAACAAAAGCTAACCCCCCCCCCCCCACTTCTCTACATCAACAAAGACATTTTGGGCTTGGTGGTATGGGCTTTGATCCCAGCACTTGGGAGAGTAAGACAGGAGAATCTTGAGTTTGAGGCTAGTCTGGATTACAGAACAAGTTAAAGGTCAATTTAGAATACAAAGAGAGACTCTGTCTAAAAATAGTATGGAAAGTGTGGATGGTAGCTATATGAGTGTTTGACAAACTATTCTTTGTGTCTCTCAGTAGTTTTACAATTCAGTTAAAATTACTTTGCATGGACTTTTCTAAATGCAGACCATAAACTACCCTGTTATAAGCCTTTTTTTGGGGGGGGGCAGGGCATTCTCAGTCATGAGTGCCTCTCCCAGAAGAAATTTTATAAGGGTACTTCTACACAGCACACCCTTCCAGGCTACAGAAAAGTAAGTTAATTCCTTAGTGCTGAGGCTGGGAAACTAGGAGAAATAGTACTTTTGCCATAGAATGGTACAAGGAGGATACCAAGAGTTTGGAATAAAAGTAAGCGAACAGAGCTGGGCTAAAATAATACTTTCATCTTCGTCAAAATGAAAGCATTCCAGGTCATTGGCTCTCAACCTTCCAGTGGAGGGGGAGGTTTCCTGTTGTTCAGATGACAGCTGGCCTGAGGAATAATGAGTGGGCATTCAGGTGGAGCCATCTGAAGTTCATTGGCAACATCTCCTTCAAGGGGTTATTGGTGCATCTCAATTGGCGCCCTGGCTGTGCTCCCAGCACTGAAGGAAAAATGATATACAGACAATTAAAGCTGGCATTCACCAGTGAGCCACTGGCCTGCCTCTGTGTTAATGCCGGCATGCTGTTTCTTTGCCCTGGCCAGTCAAGTTAGAAGGACAGCACACACACGAAATAGAAATGATTGTGTGCAGCAAGCTGGAAAAAAAATACCTGCTTGGAGTTTAGAATACAAAACGCAGCACCATTCTTTTTTATTGTCCCATTCTTATTCCCTATCCCATTCAGCCATTCAAGGACTTAGGCCAATTTATTGCCCATTTGTTGGTCAGCCATAATGCACCAGATACTGAGCATAGATCACATAGGAGAGCTCACCAGTCCTGACAAGGAAATAACTGACAGAAGCATCTAGAGGGAAACAGGCCCTTGGCTTACTCAAGTACTTGGACTAGGAAGAGAAAGCCTATCTTATTATGATGGTTTGTTGTATGAAGTACTCTTAACTATCAAATGTAGAAAATGAAAGAGAAGAACTAAAGGGAGTTCTTTCTTCTATGCCTCTTCACCTCTAATCTTCCCTCAGAATAGTAAAGTCAAGGAGCTGGAGAGATGACTTAGTGGTTGAGAGCACTGGCTGCTCCTGCAGAGAGCCGGGCTTTGGTCTGCACGTGGCAGTCTGTTCCTACGTGGCAGTTCACAAGCATCTGTGTCTCCAGGTCCAGGGGATCTGGTGCTCTGTTCTGACCTCTTTTGGTACTAGGCATGCACACAGTGCACATATGTACATGTAGGCAGACTATTAAAAAATAGTCAATGCAGATAACCCTGTTAGGCTACCAATGGCATCATTGTGGTCCCTATAGATTAAAACTCTGACTGGCTGGGGAGGCAGTGTTCCGGTTTTGCTCTTCCTCATGTACATACAAGCTTTTTTTTTTCTCAGTGAGACTGAGACTGAAGGCCCTGGTGATCTGCAGGAACCCCTTCCTTTCATCTAGTGCAAATTCGACGCACACTCCAGATGTATGCTAACACATGCTCCTGATTGGTTATGAAATAAGGAAATGGGGGTGCTCTGAACAAGTCACAGCTGCAGGGCCCCAAACCAATATATAGTCAGACAAACGAGCAGTTGTGCAATAAAGTTGGAGGAGGACCTTCTTTTTGATGCATTTGAAAGCCACCCCTTGTATCTGCTATCATTTGCATGTGACAGAAACACAGCACCCACCACTCTAACCAGTAATCTCTTTTCATCGTCAGTCCAACTAAGCAGATATTTTAGCTGTGTAGTCGTGGACAGAACCCTGGACTCAGGAGCCAGAGGATGTTTTCAAGTTCTAGCTCTGTCACTGCTATTGTGGAGAATTTTCCAGCCACTTCATTCACTGAGTATGCTGGATGTTCTGTTCCGAGCCGTGGTCAGACTGGGTACCATTAGTCCCTGCTACGTGTTTTGCAAATTCATGGTCAGGAGAGAGTGCAAATGAATTGGTATGATGATAAGCCATGCCTACCATCTTTCTGGAGAAAGGATGACTTCACGGCTGATCAGCCTTTCTAACTATACCCTGTCACTCATGAGAATGCTTCTTTTCAGCTTTCAGAAAGAAAATAGTCTGTCAGAAAATAATATCAGCACACCTAGTCTATGTAAGTCTCTGCCCTTCTCCATCTTTTCTGTCGCCAACCCATTTCAGATACTCCGGGCTGCTGCGTGCTGTGACAGGCTCCTAGCTGCTACTACCACCTTTTATAATTCTTTAAAAAATGCTTCAAGATCCCCGGCGGCAGTAGGCAGCAGAACTGCTGTAGGTCCCAAATGGTGGTAGTGGGCCATGTGGGGGCAGGCAGCGTCCCAGATAGAGACAGCTGCCGGTCCCCGAGCAGTGGCTGGTCCCAGGCAGGGAGACATATGGTGGGCGGCAGAAGACAGAGACATGGATAGACATGACTTGCAGAGTGAGGTTGAACGTTTATTCAGGGGGTTATGAAGGGGAAAGGGTGAAGGGGGGACAGAGAGAGAGAGAGAAGGAGAAAGAGACAGAGAAGGGGGATAACAGAGAAGTGGGGAGAGAGGCAGAAGCGAAACTGCCTCTCCTAGAGGAAGATGGAAAAGAGAGGGCGCTCAGGCAGGAAGCTAAAGATCAGCCTGCCTCAGCTGATGGGGGAGGGAGTGGGCGTGGCTTGTCTCTTAAAGAGACAGAAAACCATAACACCACTCACCACCTTTTTCCTTGTCCACCCTACCGTGCCACTAGGAGACACTCATTCTCCTTGAATTTCTAATCACAGCATTGCCCTGACCCTGCACAAGCATTTCCCACAGCCACCATCACATACCAAGTCCGATTTTCAAGATCTCATTCCAAGACGCTTTTCCAGCCGGTTATACTGCATGCCTTTCCTTTTCCTGGCCTATGTTGACATTACCTGCAATGCCTCGTTTTTTGCCCAGGAGACTCCTACTCATTTTCCCAAGGCCAAACTCAGACAGCTTGTTCTCCTCTGTGAAGCCGTCCCATCTTCTCACCTGAAGTGTACATCACTATCACTCCTGATCCACTGGCAATTTATAGCCACTAAATTCATTGTGATGTCTGTGGACTGAGATATGCCAGCCAGTCTTTTTAAAACTACCTTGTAAACTGAGACGGGGACCACACTGCTTTCATCCTTGCAGCATCGCCAGGATCATGTGTGTTATTCTGCATCCTAACTAATGTCAAGTGAATGCGGAAAGAAAGGTGGCGTGTTGTGACTGAGTAGTTCTTAGGGCTGGGAACACAGTGGCAGGACACCTCACTTGCCTGGGCTTTCACCTCTTGCACTGGAAACAAAACAAAAAGTAGCTTAACCAGCTTGTAGGCTGTTTGTTTAATTCAGAGCCAAGGCCAGTCTTTAGAGCTGGCACCTTGCCTCCCTAATGAGGAACCCAGGGACTGTCTTCCCCAACAGAGAAGTAGCCCCTCCTCTAGAGTTGCCACCACGGGCTGCTTTCTTCTTTTAGGCTTCCTTCCCAGCTCCCATGCAAATCTGTTGAGCTCTGTTAAGGTCACTCCACAGTAGTCATCATTTGCATCTCTAGATCTTTCCCTAGGTAGCAGTGCTTGATGTGGGAGGAGGTGAAAAAAGTCCACAGGAGATCAGTGAGTGGCTGGGGGTGGGGTAAACGGTAGGCTGAGGAGACCGGTCCCTGCTGGGGAAGACGAAACTGCAGGCCCCCTAAGATCCTAAAGCCAAGATAGGCTGCAGCTGGAGCTGGGGATGGACAGGAATCGTCCTGGTCCCTCTTCCTGTCCTGAGCACTTACTCCTTGGTACACTGGGCTCAGACACACCTTCTGGAGCATTCTCTCCTAAGCCAGCAAAAGCAAACATTTCCAATTTACTGGACATTGGTAATGGTCAGATCTCACTTCTTTGGGAAGCTTTTTCGTTTCTTAACCTCCAGATATCATTTGCCAATTCGACCTCCTCTTCTTATTCCCCCCAGAAAAGACTATAAAGATTTCACAAAACTGTAGCTCGCAAGGCAGGAATCTCAAAAGCATGTGAAAAACTGATACTGTGCTTTCAGGGCCACACATACAGCCTTGTGGCCCCAAGACGCCAAGGCACATCGCCCCCGCCCCCCATTATCCGGAAGGAAGGGAGGCTGGGGGCCTTTTCGGATTCCCAGTGCTGGTGGTGGTGGCTCTGCCTCCCCAGTCCGACCTCCCGACCCCGCCCTCCGGACTCTTACTTTCGGTAGGCAGCCAGCTGCACCATGCTGCAGGGGAAGAGGCGCAGGCACGCCACGCCATTCCCCTTCCACAGGGCCCTCGGCCCCTCGGCTAGCCACACTTGGCGTCCAGTGGCCCACAGCCCCTGGGAGTGGCCTCGCGCCACGCCGACCTGGGCCAGCACGGTGGCGAGCTCCAGGGGCGCCGTGAGGCTGAGGCTGAACACTCCCGCCAGCCCTGCACACAGCAGCCGCTGGCTGCCGGTTAGCCGGCCATCCCGCCTCCACGTAGCCATCGGGACCCAGCCCCGCGCGGGCCACCTCGTGGCTGGTGTCCGGGGCTCGCGGGCCACCACGGGTAGAGTGGTCTGGCCAGGCCCCGCCCGGCGTGGGGCGGACTCTTGAGATGAACTAGGGAAGCTGGGCCCACGCCCGAGCTGCACCTCCGGGTTAGGGTGGGATGGAAGGCGGCTTTCTCAGGTATCTGAGGCAAGCCCAGTCATCGTGTATTTGCAATGCTACTGGCAAGACTAGGCTTCCATTTCTGTCTGGAACAGTTCCCCCTGTTCTTTGAAGGCCAAGCCAGCAAGACTTGTTTCCTAGGTATTCACCCGTCCTCTACCTTGCTGCTTCTCTGTTCCTTTTTCACATTCTATCTTCCCCTCCCCTGACTTTCTTCTCTTCCATCAACCTCTTTATTTTAAAAGGTTGTGCAGCGTGCAGAAATGACAGACCTTGGATAACAATACTTGCCTAACACTCGGTGGTGCGTTCAAAACAGCTTTTTAGCAGATCTGGCCTCATTTGCGGAGGCTGTGGGTGTGGGTGTGGTTAGACCACAGGCTCTGGAACCTATCTGCCTTAGAGTCCTTGCAGATGTCACGTGACGGTAGGGCGGTAGGGAGGTCACTGGGTTTCTTTGTGCCTCAGGTGCTTCACCTGTACTGTGGAGTTTGCACTTTCTAGAAGTTACCGCGAGAATTAAATCAACATTGACCGGGACAGGTAACCAATCTCTGTCTGTGTTGCTTCTGATTAAGACATTACCTTATAGAAGCGGAAACTAAGACATGGAGATGCTTAAGGCTGAGTGGCCACTGCAAGGCAGAAGCAGGGTTCCTACATAGGCCAATGGAGGCCTACATCTCCTTAGGGCCACACATAAGGAATGCATAGTAACACTGCAGCGAGAGAACTTGCCTCAAAAATGAAGGTGGTGGTGCCAGAGCCATGGGGAAGAAGACAGGCAGGAGAAAATGTCCGAACGAGACCAAATACTGGGGACGTTCGTTTTTTAAAATCAGTAAGTGAAAACAATGCATTGAAAAAGAATGAGGACCGAGGTGGGGAAGACACTGGATGCCAGCCTCTGGCCTCCACGCGTACAAGCATGCATAAACTCGCTTCCTTCTCCCCCTTGCTCCCCCTTGCTCCCCACCCCTTCTCTCCTCTCTTTGCACACATATGCGCCAAAAGAAGCGAAGGGCCAGAACTGAGCAAACAGAAATTCTGAATCCCTCTTGGCTTTGTCTATGTTAGGGTTACAGTTTATAAAGATGAATCAATGGGCTGGAAATAATGCATATATAAATTTAGCAGTGAGTCCAAGTTACTAGAAGCCAGAGATAAGTCTTTTCTCGTGAGAAACCAGCTTATCCTCTGGTACCAGGGCTCCCGTGGGTGGCTTATCCTCACCCCAGCATGAATTTTCCCAGGGGAAATTCTAATCCTTCGGGCCCCTGTTACATGGATACAATGTACAGTGATCAAATCAAGGCAATTAGCATATCCATCACTTTAAACATTTACAATAATATATTGTAGATTTCAAAATAACCAAAAAGAGGATTTTTGAATGTTTTCAGCACAGAGACAAAGAAACTTGCTAAAAAAAAAAGGAACCATTTCAAGTCGTGCAAGCTATAGGCTAAGAAAGATGAGATCTATTATTTTAACCCCTCATGTGTATTTTTTTCTATGCAGATACACGGAACATTAAAATGACTAGCAGCAAAACATGTCTTCGATGCCTCCTTCTGTGTTGTCATGAGGCAGTACCGACTAGCCGCTTTCTTATTTTCCTCAGCGAGTGTCTTTCTCATCTGTTCAGCTGAGCAAGGCCGGGTTTCCACGGGGAGCACTTCTTTGCCTTGCTGAAGCCTTGCTCTGCTCTCGGCTGGGGAATGCTTATTTGTCTTGCCTTGTAACTTCTTGTGTCTTGTGGTGAGGGAATTTCCTAGCTGTGGAAAGTGGCAGAATGTAGCTCTACAAGTCTGAAGATCAGACGATGTAGGATGGTAAAACGGCAGGAATTGAATTTGGGCTCTGGGTAAGGGTGCGTTCAGGTCCCAGTTCTGCCCTAAGCACTCTGTTGCCAGCAGGATGGGGCCCCAAAGCTTTCATGAAGCATCACCCTGGGACCGCAGCTGCTGCCGCTGTACCACATTGCACAGAGAGCTGGCTCAATTGAGCAGTGCCAACTGAAAAAGAAAACCAGTTTCTTTTGGTGCTGTGGAGTTGAACCTGTGACCTTGTACATACTAGGCAGGTGCTCTACCGTTGAGCTACATCCTTAGCTCAGTTTGTTTGTTTGTTTTTTCCTCAAGTCAGCTTGTATGGGAATTTCTTTTTTTTTATCTTTTTTTTTTTAAATTTATTTATTTATTAAGGATTTCTGCCTCGTCCCCACAACCACTTCCCATTTCCCTCCCCCTCCCCCGATCAAGTCCCCCTCCCTCATCTGCTCGAAGAGCAATCAGGGTTCCCTGACCTGTGGGAAGCCCAAGGACTGCCCACCTCTATCCAGGTCTCGTAAGGTGAGCATTCAAACTGCCTAGGCTCCCACAAAGCCAGTACGTGCAGTAGGATCAAAAACCCACTGCAATTGTTCTTGAATTCTCAGTATTCCTCATTGTCCGCTATGTTCAGCTAGACCGGATTTATCCCATGCTTTTTCAGACCTAGGCCAGCTGGCCTTGGTGAGATCCCAATAGAACATCCCCATTGTCTTAGTGTGTGGGTGCACCCCTCGTGGTCCTGAGTTCCTTGCTCGTGCTCCGTCTCCTTCTGCTCCTGATTTGGACCTTGAGATTTCTGTCCGGTGCTCCCATGTGGGTCTCTGTCTCTGTCTCCTTTCATCGCCTGATGAAGGTTAATATTCATGAGGATGCCTATGTGTTTGTCTTTGGATTCACCTTCTTATTTAGCTTCTCTAGGAACATGAATTATAAGCTCAATGCCCTTTATTTATGGCTAGAAACCAAATATGAGTGAGTACATCCCATGTTCCTCTTTTTGGGTCTGGCTTACCTCATTCAGGATAGTGTTTTCTATTTCCATCCATTTGTATGCAAAATTCAAGAAGTCCTTGTTTTTTACTGCTGAGTAATACTCTAATATGTATATATTCCATACTTTCTTCATCCATTCTTCCGTTGAAGGGCATCTAGGTTGTTTCCAGGTTCTGGCTATTACAAACAATGCTGCCATGAACATAGTTGAGCATATACTTTTGTTGTATGATAGGGCCTCTCTTGGGTATATTCCCAAGAGTGGTATTGCTGGATCCAGGGGTAGGTTGATCCCGAATTTCCTGAGAAACCGAAACACTGCTTTCCAGAGTGGTTGCACAAGATTGCATTCCCACCAGCAATGGGTGAGTGTACCCCTTTCTCCACAACCTCTCCAGCAAAGGCTATCATTGGTGTTTTTTATTTTTGCCATTCTGACAGGTGTAAGGTGGTATCTTAAAGTTGTCTTGATTTGCATTTCCCTGATCGCTAAGGAAGTTGAGCATGACCTTAAGTGTCTTTTGGCCATTTGAAGTTCTTCTGTTGAGAATTCTCTGTTCAGATCAGTGCCCCATTTTATAATTGGGTTGATTAGCCTTTTACGGTCTAGTTTCTTGATTTCTTTATATATTTTGGAGATCAAACCTTTGTCAGTTGCAGGGTTGGTGAAGATCTTCTCCCAGTCAGTGGGTTGTCTTTTTGTCTTAGTGACAGTGTCCTTTGCTTTACAGAAGCTTCTCAGCCTCAGGAAGTCCTTGTATGGGAATTTCTAATGTACCTTCTTGGAACTGTGTATTCTGTTTTTTTTTTTTATTTCTTTTTCTTCATGGTGCTTTTTGTCTTTAGCACCAATAAGATGTTCAGATGAGCCAGAGATGGAAGGATTTTATGTCTAGGAAGCTATAGGCCCAGAAAGATAATGAGGCCTATTTTAACCTCCACAGCACATTTCTCTGCAGTTAACAGTGGACAGTAAAATGACGAGCAGCGAAGTGTGTATTTGACGCCATCTATGTTTTCAAGATAGTGTGCTCACAAGATGTGCTCAGATTTGCCCGAGCTAGAGCCCCGCTCATCTGTTAAGCACATACCAATCTTTTTTTTTTTTTAAATCATGTCCTGGGCATGGAGCCCAGGGTCTCACACATCCTAGGCAAACAGATTGTGACGTGTAGACTCTAACTTTACTTGCTCTTTTTTAATACCTATTTTTTTTTTATTTAAAAAAACCTCTTCAACGATCCTTGCTCGCTCCAGCCTTGGGAAGTGCATAGCACATGAAACTGAGATATTATACTAAAAGCAAACATACAACTAAAAGGAGAGGCAGTCAGTAAAAAGTTGTAGAAGTAAATGTTGTGGCAGGAAGTAGATGGGTGGCCCGCTGATGCCAGTTGGTAGGGAGCCTCCTGTCACCCCAGTCACTCCAACTGTCATCTTTCAGTTTCTCTTCTCTCTGAAGAAAGCCTCCCTCAGCTGCGCTCACGCTCACTAGTAGCTTCTTAGATGATGCTTTGTTTATCTTGCTGTTTGGACCAATACTAGTTGATTCCTGTTCTTCTATGTTTTCTTGCATTCTTCATTCTAGTGGAATTGTGTTGTATAAATTGCAAAAGCGCTATAGAGCTGTTGTCCTAAGACAAATGGGATGGAAGCCTTGATAGGAGGCTGAACTTGTCTGATCTGTGCTCTCAGGGAAGTACAGTTAAGAGGTGTGTGTGTGCTTGTGTACATGCTTGCATGGGTGTCTGCATGTGTCTGTCTGTCTCACTCTCTCTGTATCCTTTCTTGCTTCTTCTGTGTTCAAATATCCATTTATGTGGAGTTGTTTTCTTTGCTATCCCCCTTCCTCCCTTCCTCCCTCTATCCTGCCCTTTCCTCTGCCCCCTTCTTTCCCTTTAATGAGACATAAAATCAGTACTCTGAAATGATTTTTTAAAACCACCCTTTTATAATCAAGTTATCTGTGGAGAAGAAAACCTGTACACTAGAGAACAATTAAATTT